TTGGATTCATTCTCTTCGTCCCCTTCTGGTACACCTATCAAACGTAGGTTAGGTCTTTTCACATAGTCCCACATTTCTTGGAGACTTTGTTCATTCCTTTTTGCGCTTTTTTCTCTAATCTTGGTTTCTCGTTTTATTTCATTGAGTTGCTCTTCGACTTCAGATATTCTTTCTTCTGCTTGGTCAATTCGGCTATTGAAACTTGTGCTTGCTTCACGAAGTTCTCGTATTGTGTTTTTCAGCTCCTTTAATTCATTCATATTCCTCTCTAAGTTATCCATTCTTGTTATCATTTCCTCGAATCTTTTTTCAAATCTTTTTTCAAGGTTCTTAGTTTCTTTGCATTGATTTAATACATGATCTTTTAGCTCACAAAAGTTTCTCATTATCCATCTTCTGAAGTCTAATTCCGTCATTTCATCACAGTCATTCTCCGTCCAGCTTTGTTCCCTTGCTGGTGAGGAGTTTTGGTCCTTTCTAGGAGGCGAGGTGTTCTGGTTTCGGGTGTTTTCCTCCTTTTTGCACTGGTTTCTTCGCATGTTTGTGGATTTGTCCGCTGGTCGTCTGCGTAGTTGCTGACTTTTCGATTGGGTCTCTGAGTGTACACCCAGAATGTTGATGATGAAGTATTTCTGTTGCTTGGTTTTCCTTCTACCAGTCTAACCCCTTCGCTGTACGACTGCTGAGGTCCGCTCCAGACCCTGCTTGTCTGGGGTGCACCTCTAGCAGCTGTGGCAAAGCGAGGGATGCTACCAGTTTCTTTTTCTGCTATCTTTGTCCCAGGATGATGCCTGCCTAATGTCAGTCTTTTGGATATAGAGGGGTCAGGGAGTTGCTTGAGGAGACAGTTTGTACTTTATAGGAGCTTGATTGCTGAGCTGTGAGCTCTGTTGTTCAATCAGGGCTGTTAGGCTGCTAAGTTTGATTCTGCTGCAACGGAGCTCATTAAAAAAAACCTTTTTTTTCTCAAATGCTCTGTGTTGAGGATCTCAGCTCCGTTGAGGTCCTGCCCAGCTAGGACGCAGACTAGCCACTGTTTGCCTGCCGAGGCTCCGCCCTGCTGTTGTGAGGCTCGCCCTGGCTCTGCTGTTCTGCTGTGTTCTCCGCCACGCCCTGCGGCAGAGTCTCTCTGTTGTAGCGGGTTGCCTCAGCAATGGCAGGCTGCGTGAGCAGTGGGCGTGTATCTCAGTAGGGACGGGTTGCCTTGGCAACGGCTGGCTGCGTCAGCAATGGGCGTGTATCTCAGTTGGGGCGGGTTGCCTCGGTAATGGTGGACGCCCCTCCCCCTCAGAGCGTCTAGGGCAGTCTGCACGGGGCTTGTTTGAAATCGCGGTTTTGATCGTCCCACTGGGCCACCCCTAACGCTCTGTCCCTGCAATCCCCTGGGCTGGCCCACTGTCCAAGTGTAGCTCAGTCTCAAGTCCAGCCCTCTCACATCTCTGGTTGCCAGTTCAACGGGGCACCCGGACAAGCGCGCCCTGTGGGGAGCGCTGGGTAGGGCCGGCTGCCGCCACCCCGGCTGCCGGCTTCGCCAGGCGGAGGTTCTGCCTGGCGTCCCGTATCTCCTCTTCACTTGGGAATTTCCCCATTCTGTGGGCAACAAAGATCAGTCTGGAAATGCAGCTCAGACTCACCTCTCCGCGGACACAACGAGAGCTCCAATCCTGGGTTGTTCTCACAGCGCCATCTTGAGTCAAGTCCCTTCTTCTAGAATTCTTATAGTTTGAGGTCTTATATTTAAATCTTTAATCCATCTTTAGTTAATTTTTATGTATGGTAAAAGGAAGGGATCCTGTTTTATCTTCTGTTTATGGCTAGCCACTATTCTAGCACCTTTATTGAATAGGGAGTCCTTTCCCTGTTGCTTATTTTTTGAAGACTTTGTCAAAGATTAGATGTCTGTAGGTGTGAGGCTTATTTCTGGGTACTTTGTTCTGTTCCATTGGTCTATGTGTCTGTTTTTGTACCAGTGTCATGCTGTTTTGGCTATGTAGCCTGATAGTACAGTTTGAAGCTTGGTAATGTGATACCTCTGGCTTAGTTCTTTTTGCTTAGGATTTCTTTGGCTATTTGGGCTCTTTTTTAGTTCCATGTGAATTTTATAATAGTTTTTTTCTAATTCTGTGAAAAAAAATTATCTTGGTCATTTGATAGGAGTAGCATTGAATTTGTAGATTGCTTTAGGTAGTATTGCCATTTTAATGATATTGATTCTCCCAATTCATGAGTATGGAATGTTTTTCTATTTATTTGTGTCATCTATAATTTCTTAGCAGTGTCTAGTAGTTCTCCTTATAGAGATCTTTCACCTCCTTGGTTAGATATATTCCCAGGTATTTTATTTTTTGTGTGGCTATTGTAAATGGGACTGCCTGATGAACTAGCATTGACAGAGAATTCTGACATTCTTATAGGATCAGGTCAGCTTTCTAAGCTGGGAGACATTGTTTCCTATACAGCATCCTCTACTGAAGTACTAAGCTTTCTTTTCTATGATATGAGTTTAAATCTGGTAAATGTGCTATAAAAGAAGCCACCATCAATTTCAGGCTATAGCTCTCTTCCCTTCTCTCTCTTTCCCTCCTCTCCCCTATCTCTGGAGGATAGATCTGCATTAATAGTAATTTTGATTTTCAAGACACTGTTAGTATTAATCGGGATACTGTTCTTAAGAGGAGAACACCAGCCTGGCATGCAACAGAGATGATGAGTCACACTTTTGTTTGGTGGTTTGCTGGATCTGCTTGTCCACATTTGCTCCTGACTTCTAATTCTGCATTGGCTAGAATTCTCTTTGCTTAATTAAGCAGGAAACCATTTTCTCTTTAATTTGGGTACTACTATATTGTAATTGTATTTTACTGATGATCTGACTAGAAAGGGACAACCAAGCCTAAACCTATGGTAACATTTTAATTTTTCTTTTATTTTCTTTGTATCTGTGGAAGATATTGCAGAAATCATTTGGTGTAAAACAGTTTTGATAAGGGCTAACATATGGGCAATCCTGGGGAAGAAACAAAAAGAAATCACAGGCTTTATGTTGAGCCATATAGAATTGCCATTTTTACTGGTTAAAAACAACTAAATTATGGGCAATTTCATATATTTCAGACTAATTCAAATATTTTAAATTAGAATTTCTTGACTTAAGAAAAGTTGAGAAAATAGTGCTATTTGTGGCGACTGGGTTATTTTACTTGGAGACTTGTTTTTATGAAATTGAAAAGAAATGTTTTCAGAGGCTAGGTAACCATCTTTGTATTCTAAGCCACCGTAAAGAATAGTATATTAGAAAGTAAGGTTCAGTTATAGATTCAGCATGAATGTATGTGTCCGTGAAGAAGATTTATTTTTTGCAGGTGTGAAAGAAATATTTAAATAGTGCTAGACTTTGACACCTATTTACTACTCACCAAAACTACGGAAAGTTTCTTTTCTACTTTTTGTCACGGTCAGGTAAACTCTGATAGGAGTAAGAAGAGAAGAGATTTCCCCTACAGACCCACCACCAAGTTAACTCTAGTTGCAATGTGGGGGAGTATTTGAATATTTCAAAGCAAAGTAGTCCCTTTTTGGTTAATTATTACAGTTATTCTGTAAGCATGCTGAATTTCCGTGGCACTCTGGGCATAATTCTAAGACAGCCTGAATCACAGTGTCATTGTGTGTTTCAATGTCTGTTTCTCCCATACCAGCCCACTATCACACTTTGAGTAGTAAGGTAGGAATCATGCTTATTTGTAATGATGTACCTAGTGCCTTTAAGGGAGCTTAGCACACAGTAGGCATTAGTAACTATTTCTTTCTAATATAAAAGTTTGTTGAATAAATGATGACTTAATAACAAGTCACAGCAAAAATTGAAGTACCATATTGAAAATCTTTGTGGAGTATGGAAATCAATTTGGCAATAAGTAAGAATCCTGTGAACTAGTAATTATAAAAAAAAAAAGGTCACAACTATGAACTAGAAATTACAAGTTATTTATCTTAGTCTGAAATTTGAAAATAGCATTAGGTAAAAAAATGTTTATGTCAACATTATATATGAGTTATAAAACTGAAAACAACCCAAAAACCTGAGTACAATATTATAGAGAAATTAATTATTTTTTGGAATATTTAATAACATTGGAAAATGCTCAAGAAAGGTGGGTCAAAAAAATGATATTAATGTCTTGCTTACATTAGTTCACTTAGCATTACATCACAAGAATGTCCTAAGTTATTGAAATTTCTACCAAAATAGTTTTTGTAATGGTTGTAGAATATACCATTGGATGTAAGTATTGTAAATTATCAACTCTTTTATAAATATACACATACACACATTTACACACACATACTACACAATGACAGATGGGTGAGATCGTATTATGCCTATTGTGCTATATATTCCTTTTCTCTGTTAACAATATACTCTAGAGAGCTCACCACATAAGCATGTGCAGATCTTCCTCACTTCTTTTTAGTGCCAGGAGAGTATGCCTTTGCAGAGATATATGTTGATTTTATCAATAAACAACTCTTATTGATAATTTTAGGCTATTTACAGCTTTCGTTATTAAGAATATCCTGTCAATACATACCTTTGATATATGTTTTTGTACATGTATACAAGCATTTATATAGCATAAATTCTGAAATTTGCTGAATTAAAGAGAATTTTCACTTAAAAAATTTGGACATTGCCAAATTGCTCTCCAAATTATCACACTAATTAACATTCTCTTCAACTCCCTGTGAAAGTAACTCCTTCATTTTAAAATGGAAATAGTACATGGGATATATTGTGGTTGTGTATTTGGGACTGAAATAGAGCTCAAGAACTCCAGTGATACCATGGCACAACTAAATTAGGTCTCCCTCCCTCCTTCCCTATCTCACTTCCCACCTCATCTTCCTCTTCATCTTCCTTCAATTTTTCTTTTTTTACTTCCCTCTTCCCCTGTTCCTCCTTTCTTTCCCATTATTATACCTTGTTATTTAATCTAAAGGGAGAAGACAGAAGAAAAATTAGACTGAAGAATCTGAAGAAAGCAGGAAATGGGCTTAAGCTGGAAGCAGACTGCTGGGAGTACATGGAAATCTGCAGGATGGAGCAAGTGAGACATACTCAGGAGGACAGTATGGATAGGATTTTCTCATCTGGGAACTTGTTTAAAAATGAAGATTCTGATTGAGTAGGTCTGCAGTAGGGCCTGAGATTCTGCATTTCTTTCTTCCTTCTTCCTTCTCTCTTTCTTTTTTTTTTTTCTTTCTTTTTTTTAATAGAGACAGAGGTCTTGCTATGTTCCCCAGACTGGTCTTGAATACCTCCTGGCCCCAAGCAATTCTCCCATCTCCCATCTCAGCTTTCCAAAGTGCTAAGATTACAAGCATGAGCCACCACAGCTGGTCAGATTCTGCATTTCTAATGGGACCCCTAGTGATACTGGTGCTCCTCACCTGGGACCACACTTTGAGGAACAGCAGTTAGTTGTCAGAAATCACAGGCAGGAGCATTCCTAATCAGTGGTAAGGACTGTGATCATCACTACTTACAGCCAAGGATGCCTCCTGCAAATGTTACAAAGGGGTGATAGCAATGAGTGGGAACAGTGTACCACTACTGCTTCACCCATCCGTTGCAACCTGTGCTGACCCCAGCGCCAGGACCAAACAGCTACTGCATTCATACCAATGCTTAGTTTTTCACTCTGGCAGGAACCCTTATAGAGGAATCTGATCAAGTTTTATTTGTTTCATCTCCAAAGCTCTGTCACAGAGTCCTTCAACATTTCCTTGATTCACATAATATCTGGGACTGCTGATACTGTCCTAGGTTTAAAAGGCAATTGCTTGTCTTAGCTTCAGCCCTGAGGGTGCCCACAAACTACAGCTGGTAGGATGGAAGCTTCACCCCATCATTTTCTATATTGGATGAGAAGAACAAAAAGGAAATTATTGCCTAAAAACCCAGCATTAAAGTAGTTTGAGCCCAAGCTTGAAAGCATCTCAACTTTCATTTGAAATTAAGCTATTGTTAAGCTCCTCTATAAACTCTCCATGCTCTACTGAAATAGGTTTTTGAAGTATTACGTTCCAGCAAAGTGGGGATTGTCCATGTATGCTTAGGAACCAGGTGTTTTTATATTTCATTCTTCCTGTGTAATAGTTTCTTTACCATCAGTTTTTGTGCATCAAGGAAACTACAAATGCTAACTTCAAAAAACTCACAAGCTGAAGTTGAGAGTAATATTTTCCACTTCTCTGATCCAAGCCAGACAGTGTTTGATGCTGGCATGCCTAGGTTTTCCCTCTCTCTGTTTCCATATAAGGACAGGATGACATAAATGTTTTTAAAGTAACAACAACAGAAAAAGTATTAACAAAAACAACAAAAAAGCAAAAAACACACATAATCAAAATACAGGCAGGAGCTCAGGCTTGGAGCCTTAAGAAAACTAGTTAATGCATATATTCTTGCTTTCAAAATATAATCCAAAGGAAAAGACTCAGAATAGCATAGGTCTTAAGAACTTTGTCACCTACTGAAGCTGTTAAATGTACCTTCTGTGTCTATCCGTAGGATGATGGCATTTGCATTTGAGAAACAGGTTCAATGTGAGTAAAACTGTGTTTCTTTAAAGCTGGGGAGAACAGACATGCAGGGTTAGCTTTATGAGTGACAGATGCAAATTAAGGACACGCAAGAAAAGTTTCTAATATGGCAGTATTTACTTTAGATTTTTCTCTAATTAAGGATAATTTTTAAATATGCTGATTAGCAATTAGGTTGTTTAATGCTTGATTCATGCTTTTATTTGCAATAAAAAGTTCTATTTAAGTAGAGTATCAGAGAGGCATGTTTCTTTTATTTATTTATTTTTTTTTCAGAAAATTAGGCTGTTTGAATCATATATTTATAATAACCAGAGAACTATTGTCTGTCTACCTGGTGTGTGAAACAAAACAAATAGCCTTTTGAGAATTTCCTTTGCAAATACATATATAGAAGGTCATAAAAATATTTATAGCTTTGCACTGGCCACTACAAAAATAGAAGTATGCCATAAAAAATAGACTGGATAAAGAAAATGTGGTACATATACTCATTTGTACGACATGGAATACTATGCAGCCATAAAAAGGAATGAGATCATGTTCTTTGCAGGGACATGAAGGGGTTGTTAGCCATTATTCTCAGCACTAACACAGAAAATCAGACACCACAAGTTCTTACTTATAAGTGGGAGCTGAATAATGAGAATACATGGACACAAAAGTGGAACAACACACACTAGGGCTTGTCGGGGGCTGGTGGGGGAGGGAGAACATCAGGAAAAATAGCTAATAGATGCTGGGCCTAATACCTAGGTGATGGGATGATCTGTGCAGCAAACCTGCACATCCTGCACATGTACCCTGGAACTTAAAAGTTGAAGGGAAAAAAAGGAGCATGGCAAGATATAGAAACAACCTGGTTTACTACACACACACACACACACACACACACACAACTGAATATTATTCAGCTTTAAAAAGGGGAGATCCTGCCACTTGTGACAGCACGGATGAACTTAGAGGACATTGTGCTAAGTGAAATAATCCAGAAACAGAAAGAAAAATACTGCCTGATCTCACTTATATTTGGAATCTAAAAAAGAACACAGATGGCATACAGCACATAGAAACAAAGGATAGAATGATGGCTGTTGGGGGAAGGGATTGAATGGGAAGATGTAAGTCAAAGCATACATGGTTGCAGTTAGGTAGAATGAATAGTCTAAAGGTGATATACAACATCAGGACTATAGTCAGAAGTATTGTATTGTATACCGGTAATTTGCCAAGATAGCATATTTTAAGTACTTTTATTTACATGCACACAAAGAAACTATATGAGATGATGGATATGTTAATTTGCTTGACTACAGTAATTGCTTCACTATGTATGTGTATATCAAGGTACATATATCAAAATATCATGTTGTGTATCTTAAATATGTACAATAAAAATGTATAAAAAATAAAATAGGCTCTTTAGCAATTTCCATGCTTTAAAATAATTTATAAGTTATTGGTTTGTTGCTTTCTAATATATTTAACTTGAAGCTTATTTTCCTGCTGTATTTGGCCTTGAATAAGAGAAAATAAATAAAATACTTTTTAACAACATGTGAGTGTGGGAACTTAGAAAGGCTTGTCCCAGGACAATTGAAGTCAAGGATCTTTTCCACCTAGTACGCTGAAGGAATTGCTCAACTTTCATGGTGAAGCAAGAAACACATAAGCAAGATATGCTCCAAGAAGGTATTTGGTGTGTGGTGGGCAGGCAAGTTGTGCCAGTTTTTTAGCTATTATCTCACCTCCAAGTCCACTCTTCTGTACTCTGCCTTGTGACGTTGAGCCCAAGGCTCTGCCAACCCTATTTTAGCTTTCCAGCTGCTTCCTACTAGGTAGGCTCTGCCAATAGGAGGTGCTAAAGAGAGACTGGAAAGCTGGAAAAGAAAAAGACTTAATCTGCCTACAGTTTCTGTGACTGTCATGGTGAATGATGGACAAGTTGAGATGGCTGGATAGGATTCCTTTTCTAGACATAACATTCTAAAGCATAGAGGATTTTCTCACAAGGCTTGTTGTGTAATTTGATATTAAATCAGCTGCAGGTGGAACAGCCTAGTCCTTGTGTGGAACATCAGAAATGAGCACAAGATAACCCAGTATTCTTGATGGTTGTTCCACGAGTTCCCACCTCCAGCTCCTGCTGCTGATGCTCTAACAGCACAGAAGATAAATAGAATGTGAGGTGGTGTGACATTGTGGTTACAGTATTCTACAACTTCCTTAATGCAACACACACACACACAGTTTTCTCCATGGAGAAATTGGAAGAAAGCAATGAGAGAGATTTCTAGAGAAGAATCTGGAGACTATCAACCAGAATCCTGGGTATAGTTACACGAAGAAAATTAGATGTCATTACAAGAATAAATGCCAGCATTGTTGAGTTGGCAGCTGACACTTATTTCCCAATATATTGGACTGAAAAGTGAATATACCTTAACTTGAAAACCTTTTAAATGAGTTTTTAAAATTGCCAATCCATTTATTGTTAAGAAAAAGCACAATGTTGAAATGCTACTTGGTTCATATGCAAACCCAGAAGACAAAACTTACCCTACTTTGCACTAAAATGCTACTGTTGTAAAAGCAGTGTTGTAAAAGTCCCTTTCTTGAAAATTCCTAAGAGTCTTTGGTTTGTGCTGGTTTAAAATAGCAAAATTGTGCATGGCGACATGGTAATATGAACATTTTCAGATGTGCTTCTGTGTCTACAACATGCTGAGGACTGTGAAAACTTCCTATGTCTTACTTTTCAGAAGAAGATATGTGTGTGGCCAAACAAGCATATGAAAAAAAAAGCTCAATATCATGGGTCATGAGAGAAATGCAAATCCAAATCATCATGAGATAGCATCTCACACCAGCCAGAATGGCTATGATTATAAAGTCAAAACATAACAGATCCTGGCGAGGTTGCAGAGAAAAGAGAACACTTACACACTGTTGGTGGGAGTGTAAATTAGTTTAACCATTGTGGAAAGCAATGTGGAGATTCCTCAAAAAGCTAAAAACAGAACTACCATTTGACTCAGCAATCCAGTAACTGGGTATGTAGCCAAAGGAATAGAAATCATTCTATCATAAAGATACACGCATGTGTATATTCACTGCAGCACTGTTTATAATAGCAAAGACATGGAATCAACCTCAATGGCCATCAGTGGTAGACTGGATAAAGAAAATGGTATACTATGCAGCTATAAAAAATGACATCATGTCCTTTGCAGCAACATAGATGGAACTGGAAGCCGTAATCCTTAGTGAACTAACACAGGAACAGAAAACCAAATGTCACATATTCTCAGTTGTAAGTAGGAGCTAAATGATGAGAATATATGGACCCAAAGAGAGGAACAACAGACACTGGGGTCTACTAGAAGGTGGAGGGTGGGAGGAGGAAGAGGAGTGCAAAAAATAACTACAATTGGGTAGTAGGCTTAGTATCTGGCTGATGAAATATTCTATACAACAGCCCCCTGACACGAGTTTACCTATATAACAAACCTGCACATGGACCCCTGAACTAAGAGGTTTTTTAAAAACTTACATCTTGTCTACTTGCCTGACCTCTAATTTTCAGCATTCCTATTTGAACTATTCTGAAACAGATACTCAGTGTCTTAGGAGTTCTGAGACTTGGCTGAATCACCCTTGGCCCTATTTTAGATTAGAAGGGATCAGCTTGAGTTTGTGCTATTGGTTACAGGTGTTGAAGCTACAATTATGAAGCTGAGTTGACTGACCATATAATACATATTAAGTGTCTTCTAAAGAAACAGATTCAGACTATGAACAGATTCCTCAGAGGATGGAGCCCTGGAGCCTACACTCACCGTGGGACGTACACTATATGTAAATTGCTTGGACTAGTTCTCAGGAGATTTGGATTCTAGGTCTTCTCTATACATAGGTGGAAGCCTAGAAGATATTTGTTTCATCCATAAAATGGGCTCATGTCTACAATAATTATCCCACTCTCCTCCCCCCACCATTGCCCCAAGGTCAGTGGGCTAGAAAGATGTGACAATGTCTCTAAGGCACGAGAACTGTTACAATCTCCACTGTGTGGGCACCGTCTATTCCCTATCAGCTGGTTTTGATCGGCATCTTGGATATATTCCTATATTTCTTTCTCTCCTACCCATGGCTTAGGAAGGATGTCTATGATGCTCATGCTGTGGAGCTAGAAGCAATAACTAGGCTGCATATTTACAGACATTCCATCAAGGGTATTAACAACAGCAGCTTAAAAAATGAAACATCTTCAGCTGGGTGCGGTGGCTCATGCCTGTAATCCTAGCACTTGGGAGGCCGAGGTGGGTGGATTACCTGAGGTCAGGAGTTCAAGACCAGCCTGGCCATCATGGTGAAACCCCATCTTTAAAAAAAAAAAAAAAAAAGAAAGAAACATCTTCATTTTAGAGCACAGTGTGAGTGATGCAAACTGCCTAAGAGGCTGCATTAATGTTGCTGTGTGACTCCTGTCTTTTCCTGCATTTGTCATCTTCTGTGCAAATATACTGTATTTTTTTTCTGCAGATGTTTTAGAAGCACAAGAAACACATCTCCCTGCAGCTGACACTCAAAATGTGTGAATCTTTTCCAGCACCTCTGACATCGCTTTTCACTTTAAAGTTGGAAAGTATATTTATCATGTACAAAGTAAAAGAAATAAGAAAAATTGAGATGCAAGAGAGTTTTTAAAATAAAATCTTTAGAAGATAATAGCTAAGTCATTCATCAGTGAAGTTGCCTACAAAATCTCTCCCATCTAATCCTGAAAATTAGTCTTTGAGGTCTATGAGGTGTCTCCTATAATCACCTCATATTAATCATCACATTAAAAACCACTTCCTCACTGGAGCCTTGCATCTTATCCAGAGACAACAAAACTATGGACATCTGAAAACTTCCCCTGGAACCCATTTTTCTTCAGCTTAATCACAATCCATTTAGGATGACCAAAGATCTGAATTATCATAAATTAGCAAGCAAACTTTGAGAGACTCAAGGGTACAATAGAGAATAAAAGCTACTTTGTATGACCTCATATTTCATTCATTCATCTACTCACTCATCCAATAGCTATTTGTTAAGCACTGAACTTTGTGCTGGGGAATTGGCAATGAACCAATGAATCCTGTCTAAATCATTTATCTTTTTTTCTATGGACAAAATACAACAAGGAAATCATGTAATCATATCTACTTAAAAAACAAACAAACAAACATGGTCTCATTCTCTCACCCAGGCTGGAGTGCAGCGGCATGATCATGGCTTACTGCAGCTTCACTCACTCAGGCTCAAGCAATGCTCATGCCTCAGCCTCCTGAGTAGCTGGGACTACAGGCATGTGCCACTACGCTTGGTTAATTTGTCTTTTTAGTTTTTAGTAAGAATGAGTCTTGCTATGTTGTCCAGGCTGGCCTCAAGCTCCTGAGCTCACGTGCCTTTAAAAATAAAATGTTTTACCCTCCTAATTCTGAACAAAAGGGTAGCTTTCTTTATAGCATTCTTCAGGCTGTCTGGCAAAATACCCACTTCCTAAATTTACTCACCATCCATTCTTCCATTTAGGCAGATAATGTTGTAAAAAAAAAAGAAAGCATTTGTCTTGTACCCAGATATTCCAGTTCATAAAGAATCCTGGTATAATTCTGAGAGGTAATGAAATATCACTGTTTGGGGCTTGTGTTTAATGAGAACACCTTCCTGAGCTTCTGCAGGTAGGAGGAGAGGAGGCTGTTTTAAGATGTCCATGTTTCTGACAGTGGAGGATCCATTTTACCCTGGATTTCAACTAGGAAATGACTCTATGCAAATAATTACTTTTTTAACAATCCAGATAATAACCCCAGAGCCCAGCTTGTGTTGCTTTGTTTCTTCCCCCCAAAGATTCAATTAGGAAAGAGTATGTGTCAATGAATTTTCAAATGCCTTTCCCAGGACCATGGCAGGTAGAACATTCACACAGAGAACAAGAATCCCAAAGTCAGAGAGTGGTACCGTCCAAGCAGACAGCAGAAAGCATTCTCGAAGAATTAAGCAGCACCCAAGCATTTCACCTAGTGCATTAGAGCAGGGGTCCCCAACCCCTGGGCCGAAAACCTGTACCAGTCCATGGCCTGTTAGGAACTGGGCCACAGAGCAGGAGGTGAGCAGTGGGAGAGTAAGCATTAGATTCTCAGGTGAGGGATCTAGGTTGCGCACTCCTTACGAGAATCTAATGCCTGATGGATGATCTAAGGTGGAACAGTTTCATCCCCAAACCGTCCCCTGCCCCATCCCCACCCCATCCTTGGAAAAATTGTCTTCTACAAAACCAGTCCCTGGTGTCAAAAAAGGTCAGGGACTGCTATATGAGATGATGCACAGGTTACAGAAATCCTCCAATAGCAATTACACTTA